TTTTGGTTCACATGAATTTAACATAGTTGGGTGTTTGAACAGGAGTAATTTTCCAAATCTGGTTTTGGAACGACTGACGCAGGCTGACATTGTGCTTGTTGAATGGTTCTACCCTAAACCCTGGAGCAGTGTCGGAAAATCAATTACTTTGAGTTTTGCCAGTTCTGATAAAATGGCTGTCAAATAACCGTCCATAGTCATGCCATTGGCTAGGAAATGGTTGTCACAAATTGCATATGTGTAGAATGGAAGAGTACCTTAAATGGAGCATCAAAAGGCCTAAATAAATATGCTCATGTGGACGATGAGTGTCCAGTGCATTTCTGTTTGCTGTGGCATATTCAAATCCTTGAGATGAAAGGCAGATATGGATGTATATTGATGCAAGTTAAACTCTTTGAGAAAAAGAAAACACTGAAAACAAACATTAGCTTAACGTGTCCCATTCTAGCACATATTTACCTTCGCTGAAACTGGATTTCATGAGGTTCAGCTATAAATTAGAAACGTTTAAAAAGAAGTAGTACAACACCAGAGGTTAAAAACCCCCGACAACAATTACAATAAAGTGATAAATAATAAATTAATACCAGCATTGACTTGGTTGAAAAGGCAGAGGATAATGATAAATCCTACATCTATTTGTTCCATATACACACAAATCTACATCAGGCCTGCATTATATGAAAACATATATAATTCACCATTATGATGGTTTACTAAAACGCCACTTGAACTACCAGAGTTAAGGGATTTTGCTGAAGTTTGAACATCAAAACTCATACTCTTGGCCACAAGTTCAGGAAAAAACTCAGATTGCATGATAATCTAATTTGCTGAAAGTGATGGTAAAGATCTGGTAAAATATCTTGCATTCTACTTGGTGTTTCCGAAGACTCATTGGAACAAAAACTGGCCCCTCGCATTACATCAACCTATAAATCCTGGTACTTTGAACAACCACATGAGGTCACTGTTTTACATTGATGATATATAACACCTTGTTATATAAAGATCATTTTCATTTTTGCACTTTCACAACCTGTTTGTTATTACAGTTCAAAATACCTAGTTACACACCTGGAGTACTTAGATTACTCCCAAGTAATCTGACCTGGTAGAGAGTCTTTTTTTGTTCTGATTCTTTGCCAATTAACTCAAAAGCCCCAATTTTCTTTTGTCACAAAATCCATTTATTTCTGTTTGTTTGTTTGACCTTGTTCCTAGAAGGCTTTGTGATTTCAAGAGTAGTCAATTAAGACTTTTTTTGGTAGGGGGGAAAAAAAGCTTTAAAAGCCTCTTTAAAATCATAATGGCTGATTATCAGTGCGAGCGCAGTGGAGTGCACTTCACAGTTAGAGCCCATTTCAAATCAACCGGTGCACAATGCCCACCTGTCTTTTGCCTATTTGAATTTCTGTTGACTCATGATCCCAGCACATCACTCGTTCGTGCCGTTGGGCACTTTCGCATGTGCGGCTGAGAGCGTGTTCTTTTCCGGAGTGTGGCGAGCCTGAACACACGTGCAAGATAGTATTCTGCGCTCCTTTTCCACAAACTTCAGTCTCGACCAATGACCGTCTGTGGTCCCAACACGCCACCCCAAGTATTGCCACACACACGCATGCACACACAGACATTCCAGTGGCTCTGTGTCGTTCACCCTTTACTTCCACCACACTCGTATAACCAAACACACACATACCACTGGACCCACTGTTAGGGTCACCCAAAGGGCAACATCCCAGCGGAGTGGTTTTATGACTACGGGGCAAGAAAAGAGAGAAAAACTATGTTATGTGAGGAAAAACAAGACAAAAGTCTGGCACGAGTGATTTAGAGCATTGCCATCAGGCTTTTTGGTTTTAAGTACTTTTTTTTCTCCCCCTTTTGTTTTTTAAATAGTAAATTTCAAAACAGGTTTCCTGTTGCCATTAGGTTTAAATGACCTCTCTGGTCCGTTACTCTGGAATGAGACCTCAGCAGTTTGCAACATTCAAAGTGCAAAAGACTCGGTCGAGCCTCCCAGGAACATGCTGAGGTGTTGTAATGTTAGCTGCGAGGGTAACTAGCGTAGCTACTAACGACAGGGAGGGTGAAAGCACGAGGCTGGTGGGTGGTGTGAATTTTCAGTTTTCTGCCAAAGTGCTGTCAACCAGCAGGAGCAAAAGGGGGACGTTTGTTTACGACGCATGATGCGCGGACTAAAGGTTAGATCGTGTGAAGCATCTCAAAAACTACTTTAAAAAAAAAAACATTCTGTGGATTTATTTCATATTAGTTTTACTTTCTTTTTTTTTGACAAATTTTACTCACCTTGTTAGGCACTCCTTAATTGTAAGTAATTAGACTCCCTTTTGCCTTCACCTGACTTAATTGTACCTTATCTAGATTCAATGATGTGTCTGAAATTTTCCTCAGAGATTCATGCAGTAGATTCTGCAAATGAAATGTGTTGGGTCTCCCATCCAACATGTTTCAAATGTGCCGTGTTAATCTACCTATACCGTGAAGACGTTGTCACATTCAACACATCCGTTCATTTCAGAGGATCTGAATTCCTTCAGGTCCCCTCTAATAGCAACAGGGTATTTTCTCTGCAGCAGCAGCTCAGCAGAATTTTCTTGCCTTTTTCGGATGATTATCTATGAAATCGAGGCAGTTTTTCATGAACATTCCAGTGAATCTGCAGTTTTATAAAAGACAAAACTGCGTGGTGTAGAAATGGAGTGGCCGCCTCATACACGGAGGCTCCACGTCTGTCCTCTTCTTTCTCCACCCATTTCCTGTCTGATCTGCTGCAAGCAAATAAAACAAAAAACAAAGACAGTGAATTTACCATCCATTTCTGCATTCTCATGCTTTGTTTGAATTCAAGAGAGTTGTCTTCACCACAGGGGTTTCTATTGCTGTTAGAAATTATTTAACATGAGTATCCGAGAAATAAGCTGTTGAATTGGCCCTTTTTTGACTTCAGATTCTCTACACTTAGCTTTGTGGTTTAGTTGCATTTCCAGTTTTACCGCTTGTTATGCCCATACTACATCTTAAGGGGGAGGAGGGAGGGAGTATTATGTAAACCTTCATTGTTCCTTCAAAAAAACACTTTCACGTGTTTTTGAGGAATCCTTGAATGATCCATGACAGCAGTTTTAGGGGGTGGGGCTCAAAGTGAACTCCCACAAAGCCCCGCCTATTTCCACAAAGCCCCTCCTTGGAGCTGCAGTACAACCGAGCTTCTGCCACACAAAGTTCCCCTCTCCTGTTCTCTGTCCCCACTCAGCTTCACTAGACTAGCAGGAGGAACAATTAGTAAACACCTGCTGAGCTCATGATAGGAACCACTTCTGTCAGAATGGTTGGAAAAGCCATAATGGAGGAGCATTGTTGTGATGCTGTGCTGGGGACGGAATATCAGAAAGAGCGGGAGCTTCTTGTAGAGACTTTCTAGACTCTAAATTACTAAGTCAGATTTTGATATAAACAGCATTATTATCACAGCTGAATGTAACATAGCTACTTCATTGTGCTACAAATTGGCACTATGACTGGAAAATACACATCACCCATTTAAACATTCACGATCGTTCCTTAGCTCTGACCTCCTTCCATTCCTCAAGAAATCATAATCCTATTGATTATTCATTTCATCTGCACTTTCACCCAAATATCTCTTTTTGAACATGTACACATTTGCCATGTGTTAAATGTCTGGCTCCATGACTAAATCTTAAATATAAAACAGTTAAGTCCAAATTTATTCATAAGGATACCGGAAATCTATATCTGCCTGGGGTGCAAGCAGATATAGAAAGATATGGAAAGTTTTTACGACTGATTAGGGATAAGCATTTATTTTAAAACTAACTTAATTGCTTTAATAACTCTTTGAGAACAATATACAATTCATAAGAGATGCCTCGGTTTGTTACTCTCTTGCTACGTTTAACTTAATTTGGCAGAGTGCTGGTTGTATGAAACAGCCTCATTAGCTGATAATCCTCTGCAACAGGTAGAAGGTTAAATAATTCACTTTAAAACAATAGATTTTTTTAAGTTTTGAAAAAAAAAACAAAAAAAAAACAACAAATAACCACATAAGACAAGTTACATACAGATTTGGCATGTTATTTAAAGATTTATTTTAAAAGAAAAAAAAATGCTCAATAAGATTTTTGTTATAATAAAGTATCTAAATACAGGCAACTGAGGTATATCTGTCATCCTACAAAAAGAGAGAAATGAGGGTAACCCGAAGAAACGGTAGCAGAGAAAGCAAAAGCTTGAACAAAGGAAACCAGGACGGTAAAGAGTAGACATGACAGACACGCTGGTGGAGTGGTTGATCGCGGTGAATCATTTTTTCATGATGTATAAAAAGGCTGTTTTCCCACATTTAGGGACCCAGAATTACAAATTCAGTTACATTTGAACCAAGGAGATGAAGCCAGAAAACCTGGAAAGATGAAATCCACCCACCATACAATCTACAGATAAAAATGTTGACATATGTTAATTTTCACAAGTGTGGGAAAAGGTTTAATTTGTAAATCAACTTTGAAAAGATGACCAATGTTTGACCATTGTACCAACATGGGACTCCATAGTTTATGCTGCTGTGTTGAGCAAGTAACCCATTCAATCAGCTGAAGGCAGGAAGTTTAGCTGTATGAACTGACAGGATGTTGTGAGCTCAGTTCCCAAATCTTAACACACCTGCCAAAACAACATTTTGTCTTGTAATTTTTTTATAGCTTGCTAACCTAGCCTAGTGTAGCTAACGTGACATCTTATGTGCAATATGTTCACATCAAGCTTTGTTATTGCAATGAAAATTAGAATTTTAGAAAGCATAGGTTAGCTGAATTTCAGTGGTACAGTTAATATTTTTACCTTTTGGTGGCGAGCTGCCAAAAGTGTTCTCACCAACAGCCAGGCTAGAGTTGTGCAGAGTTTTTGTTTTCGTTTTTTTTTTTTACTTCTTAAAAAGACAACAAGCAATGTACAAAGTTAAACTATTCTTTAATATATATTCAGATTCTTTGTTTTCATAAATGCACACTTGTGGTAACAATCATAAGGCATACCAATTAGTTTGGCCAACAGCAGGCAGTGATAATTGACATGGGTACAAAGCATAGACAACATTCGCACAAAAACAGAGGAGGCTCAGTACAATTCATGAAAAAAGGTCTGGAATAAGTAGATTGTCATCTCAGTTGTTATATAGAAAGAAAAGAAATGCAGTTTCGGTTAATTATTCTATTATAAAACAAAAGACCCTGGTCAGCAGCCATCAACTTTTTCTGCATTACAGAGCTTTGCAATCAGGTATCATGATTAAATATTTTTCCATTAGACAAAAATAAATTCTGTGTGATAATTTACTCAAACTAAAATGGTTCATGATGGGAAAACTAGAGAAAATCTGCAGACAAGCCAGAGGCTGAAAACAGCCGAGGTTTATGAGAGTTCCAGCTGAGTCCCACATACGATACAGTGGTTCGGCCCTGTTGCATGTATGTGAGTGGGTAGGCGGCGTATTAATGCGTGAGTGGGTTGAGCACATTTTTCTGTCCGCCACTCTATTGCCTACTACTTGTAAAGCGTTTTGACTGAAACACACTCGCATATTCACCCACAAAACAAACACTGGCAGGCTCAAATGGAAAGCAAACGTGAAAGCAAAAAACAGAATAAAAGATTAAAAAAACAGAAGGAGTGATTGTATTCAGTGAGCAGGAGATTGAAAGAGTTGATTTATTACAACAGTATTAAAGTTTGAGAGACAGTGCTTCTGCCCATGAGGGTTATTGTCTGCTGCCATCTTGGATGAAGTGCATGCTGCACTGCCTGTTCACCAGCTGTGGTCCATCCAGCAAAGAACAAAGGGAAGTTTCCATCTCACTGCAGCCTTCCATGGAGCTCCAGCAGTTATACAGGAGAGGTATCGTACCGGCAGAAATGGGGAACAAAAATGCCCATCCCAGAGGTCTTTAGGTCACCAAACACGACAAATGTTGTCAGAGACCATGTTGCTGCTTTTGTTGCAGTTGAATGCTTTGGCAAACTCTGGGAAGTTCTGAAGGGAGCCCAGTACTCTAGAGTACACAAAGGAGACCGGTGTTAGCAAGTGGACTTTGTGTGTCAGAGGGTTCTGTACTTTTAAGTCATGAAGTGCTGATTTATGCACTTCGTGTTATTACCTGAACATCCCTGGACTGTGCACGTCTACTTTAATGGAATTGACGGCTTGCTCTGGTCGATGTGATCCACACCAAATCTTAAAGAGTTATACAGGATGTAAAGTATCAGACAAGTACAGAGCTTCAGCAAACATATTCACTTATAGATACATAAGGTATCCCACTAATTTACTGAACTATTGCATATAATTTTTGAAAAAAAAAAAAAAAAAAAAGCTAATTCTTACATTTTCTTTAATTGCAGAGGCATGTTGTGTTTCTTTAGTTTTAGTTATCAATAGCACTGAGCTTTGGAAATGGTATTACCTCACTTACCAAGCTCCTTACTGAGAGTAGTGGAAAGCTGAACTTCACATATGTGGCTGTCAGTGCTCCAGTTGCATTAACTTTCTAATCCTACTCCAACTGTAAAGCTGCAGTGTGTAACTTTTGTAAAAATATGCATTTTTTTATGTTACACATTTGTTGAAACTGTCAATGTCGTAACCGCATAGTATGAAACAGTTTGTCAAGGAAAAAAAAAAGCTCCGCCTTCTCCCATTGCTAACAGGTACAGTAGATATCGATGCATACATAGCTTTTGTCACTTATTGCTTTCTAAAAGGGTACAACGGTTAACTTCCTTCCCTGTTAACCACCAATCAGTTTTTGGGGCTTTTGTAAAGACATGGAGATATACAATTGATAAACCTAGTAGAGGGACTCCACAGTGTGCTACACTTACAGCATATTTTACAAACATTTTAGGAAAATAATTTTCATGTTATTACTGACAATTTTCAACTTTTGTGCAGAAGCATAACTAATGATAAAAATGTAGTGAAATAAAGCATTTATAAGATTTTGTGAGAATAATTTCTAATTTCAGACGAAATAAAATTCATTAGTTTTTAATGACAGAAAATATTAAACTTAAAGTTGTGGAGTAATTCAATTTAACCTATAGTTTACTCAACTTCAAAGGATTTCAACATTTACATATGGATTTTATTGAAATAAATGTGAAGATAAAATTTCTGTAGGTGATTGTTGAAGCATTTTCAAAAGGGATGAAATATTTCCAGTAACTCATCATGACCCTGTTGGCTGTAAAATTATTATTTAGAGATTTTACGGTGATAACTGAAGACATTTTGTGAATGACAGGATTAACTGATCAATGTTGAAATAGATTGAAAATGGATCTAATTGTTGTTCATACCATCCTCAAAGTGTAGAAGAACTAAAACAATTAAAATGGATAAGAAAAATAAAAATAAGAGTATTACTACTGTTATGTTACTAATTTCTTTTAAAATTTAGTTTTATTGATTAGGTGTTTTGTATGATCCACAGAGCATTGTGCATTATCCCTTTAAAACACCTGTGAGCTGATTTTGCGGATTTATTTGCCTTGCCTTAATGTTTTATTGTATGTGTTTTACTTACATTTTTATTCGTTAGAATATGTTGTGCAACAACCAGACATGACACCTTGTAAAACAGTGGCCTATTCAGTTTCTCACACAATTTTCTACTTTGTATATTGTGCCCCATTAGTAGCATTGATCGTTATTAGCATTTTATTTCTCAGGTCGATTTTTGTGATCAATACCATTATCAATTTTGTTATCAAGTTTCTCTTATAGTTGGAATCACTTATTAAATGAATAGTGATCCTCTGTGTTTTGTTAAAGCTCATTTTTGGTACAGAGTATTACTTTTTTTTCTTTTTGCTGAACTGATGACATTTTTCTCAAAAAAAAAAAAAAAAAACTTAAAGTAATTTTGTAAAAAAAAAACATCCTAGTTTAGCATTTTTCTGCACTCTCTAAATGTACTGAAATGAAAAAGGTAGGATTTTTACTAAAATGCTCAGTGTGTTATTATACACCTGCTATTTTTTTATTTATTTTTTTCAAATTAAGGCAAATTGTTTTACAAATTAAATCAGGTCATAATTCACTTACAGTAAAGACCCTCCAAGTAACTATTGAGCTACTCAGAATTAATTACGTCAGCAATAATTATTAAAAAAACATTTCTGAACTTTATTAAACCTTAATTCCAATTGTTTTCCCCTTTTTTTGGTTCAACTGATTACCTGAGCAAAATTAAGAAAGAAGAGTTGATCATGTGAGAGGTCAATCCCAGGCAGTGTGGGCTCCTCTCCATGCTGCTTCACAAAGTCCTTGTATGCCTACAAGACAAATTGTATACATTTTACACATATTGAATTCCTGCATTACGAAGCAAACTGTTACAGTGAACATCTTGCCTATTCAGAGCTGCATTTTAGAGTGAAAAATATGTGCACACTCTTTTTCAGAGTATAAACCTAATCAGAATTTTGTGGCCAATTTCTAATTTCTGGGTTTGGTTCAGCTGGATTTCTTTCTGCTTGTAGTCTTGCTCTCTCGACCTTTTTCAGTCTCAATTTAAACCCAGGTAAAGCTTGTTACGTAATCACTAAAATGTTAAAGAACTAATTAATGCCAAAAAGAGGTTACCCTCACAAACTGACTGTTCATTAATGTAGAAACATTTCATTTTAATATTTGTTTCCAGACTATGTTGACATTGCAACCTGGTTGTGCCTATATGAATGGGAGGAAAATTGAATTTTTGATGATGCGCCAGACCAGTCACTGGTCAGGGCTGATCAAACAGAAAATAAGGTAATGATAAAGCAATTTCTCTTTGCATCTCTAATCAGTGAGAATGCATCACTGCATTCTCACTTAAGTTCCTGTTTACATTTTTTGGTCTTTAACTACTTCTGCTAACTTTAACCAATTGTGCTAATTCGTATATCAAAACATTCTGCTTTTTCTGGAGATTTGTGCTATATCTTTTTGCTAAATTATACTTTTTGAAATATTTGTGCTTTTGTGCAAATTTCAGGCCCATTGAAATACAATGAAATTCTACAAAATTCTGCTAAAATCTTCTGCTTTTTCACAGCCTGCTACTTCTGCCTACTTCAACCTAGAGACTCCATTCAACTTTAAATCAAGTCACAAGACTAAGCTATATTCAAATGTATCAGCTTTTAGATAACTCTTACGGCTTTTTCACAGTTCCAATTTAAGTTTTATGCAGATTTTTGATCGTTTTCAGGGTTACAATGTAATCCTATGGTGGAATTCTCTAACTGTTGTCAGTTACTAGAGTACATACTCTAGTAACTGACATTTTTTGTTTTACTTTTCATGCTTTTTGACAAACAAAATGATGCTGCTCATACATATTTAACTATAATAATTTATGCATCAAAATGTAGCCACACACTTTAAGGAACTATTACTATCATACAGGTCTTACTGTTTTCT